TAAATTTTTGTCTACCTTTGACAGAGTACACATTTGTACACCGACTTTAATAATATTGGAGTATATTGTTAAGGAGATTTGGAGAATACTGTTTATACTGTGCACATCATTTAATATATACATGGTTAGCCAAAAATTGCTTCTTTTAATAAAGCAAAAGCGTAAATTCATGATTTTGGCAGAACACGCAAAAAAGATATATACCCACCCATGTTTTTTAAGATATTTTTATGTTTATCAGGCTACAAAATGGGATTCTTATCAAGACTTTATAAGAAAAATTGATTTTGAATAAAATTAAATAAAATAAATTTTTTTGGATATAAATCTGTTTTGTGCATTATGCTTTTTACTATATAAAAAAGTGATTTTTGGCTAATCCTGTATAAATCTAATGATGTGCTCAGTATGAAAACAGTATTCTCCAAGTCTCGTTAACAATATACTCCAATATTATAAAAATCGGTGTACAAATCTGTACTCTGGCAAAGGTAGACTTTGCGATAAACAAATAATTAAAAAAAAAAGATTTTTTAACAAATTTAAAGAAAAGCAGTTAGAATTTTGGTAAATACCTTTTTTAAATCTCCAAAGAGTGCCGATCAAAAAACTTTAACCAGTTTTTCGTTCAAAATTGAAAACTTCTAAAAAGCCTAAATAAAACATTTTAAATATTCTCTAAGCGTTATTTTATTTAATTTTATTAAAAATCTATTTTTTTAATAAAAGGTTAATAAGAATGCCATGTAACCTAATAAATTGAAATATCTAAAAAAATGGGGATACATCTGTTTTGCTTGTTATGCCAAAATCATGAACTTACGCTTTTGCTTTATTAAAATTAAGCGATTTTTGGTCCACCCTGTATATATCAAATGTTGTGAACATTAATAAAAAGTATTCTTTAAGTCTCCTCAATAATATACTCTAATTTTATAAAAATCGGTGTACAAATGTGTACTCTGTGAAAGGTAGATTTTGAAATAAATAAAAATTTAAAAAAAAATCATAAATTTTGAAAAATTTTCGAAAAAAGGATCAGCTAGGATTTTGGTAAATATCATTTTTAAGTCACCAAAGGGTCCCGAACAAGAAACTGCAATCAGTTTTTGGCGTCATTTTTATGTGACCTAAACTTCGTTCAGGGACACCGTGTTTTAAAGATTAAAGAAATAAAATAAGGAGATTTAAAACAGGTTAGATATAAATTAGTATGTACTAACTGTGTTAGTATTTTAGTATATATTAATATAATAGTATCAGTATATTACACTCATAGGAAAAATTTAACCTCTAAAAGAAAGGAGACCTACCTATACCTTTAAGTTTTTTTTATGCCACCCCATCACTTTTTGAGAAATTCTAACAAAACAACGGATTTTTTCTTTAAATTTGCAATTATGTTCATCAACAAACAACTTTTTAAAACTTTATGCAATTTAAAAGTACCTTCTGCTTTTCCTCTACAAAATCCTATTCAAAATTTTCCAATATAGTTTAACCTCTCCGAGAAATCGTGTGTTGAAATTTAGGATTGAAATGATTAATCAAAATGTTTACTTTTTGCTGCATAATTTTGATATACATATTAATATGCCAAACTCATAAATTTTAAATAGGTAACGATTTCTAACAGAAAAAAAAAGATATTCAAAAAAATTTAAAAGATTTCGAAGGATTTTAGATGACTTTGTGATGAAATCGTTTATCACTTTTGGGTTAGATTTTTTTAAAACGTAAGTCTGAATTTATTCTATGAATATCTTTATTTTTATAAAGTCTTAAGAAATCCGGCCCACTTGTATTTTTGGTAATTGTTTTTAAATATTTGTGATGAAGGTAGTGGTTTGGGAAAAACATATTTAATACAATATTGAAGTGATTTCAAAACTTAACTTAACTTTTATTTTAAAATCAAATTATTTTCCTCGTTCTTTTGTGAGCGATTTATATATCTAGATCGATCCATAAATCGTTCTAGGTCTGCTTGTTTTCCCATCATTTTTCCACCTTTTCTGATTTTGGAGGGAGGTTAACCCCCAAAATCTTCCTCTGTGAATACATCACTACCTTTGATCCTTTGGAAAGGATCAAGGGTTTCTCAGCTCATTATAAATAAAATTCAACATCGAAAAACGTATCAAATGTACAATAGTCTTACTAAGACTAGAATTTAAAATCAGTAATGATTTAGTTTCATAATTTAATCTTTTGAAACAAGAACAATTTAATAAGGAGATGAAATCAGTTCTCCGTTGACCAAATATCCGAACTGTCCTTGCTCAATCGGAGGCTTTTACTTTTTAGCCGGTAAATAAGTAATTGAGGAATGCCGATTCTGTAGAATGTTGAATAAGGTCGCGGTTGACCGGTCTAAACCTTATTTCGCATCGAATGCAGTCGCTAACAGCGTACCTTCCTAAAACATTTTGATCGATATTATGTTTCCAATTGCTTACATAATTTACGTTTAATGCGAGACTTTCTATCGAACTATTTGTATGTACCGAGCAATGCGTAATGTACTCCAGTAGCGCTCAGTTATCATAACTTGGAAAAATTCCTATGGCATAATAGGAATTTTGATTGTTTATTTAGTCCATTAGTTATTATATTTTTAATATACCCGATATATAATAGTTGAATCATTATTATCTATATACCTGTATATTTTACAGTTCAATATAAGACATAATGTTCTTTTGGTTTACTTTATAAGGAAACTATATAGAAAAGACTTGTACAGCTATTTTGCACTTTTGGAATATGTTAATTAAATTAATTTTAAATCAAATGTTAAATAACGAAAATTTATATCATCAATCCAATAAAAACTATTTGGTATGCCCATCCTTTCCAATTTTGCAACTTAATCAATTTTAATTTGTAATTTGAAAAGATTACATGTTTTTATTTTACTCGCGAGAAATACAATAACTATTAAGACTAACGATGAGTAGGTAAACCATATTCAGATACGTTGTTGGATATTTGACATTTAAAACAACGCATAGAATGCTATCGATTAGGGTGTAACATCTTCAAGGAGTGTACAATCTTATTTTATTCAATTAATATTGGAAATAAGATATTACTTAAACATGTTCGCAATCTTCCTGGTTTTAATAAATATAAAGTTTATTCAGTTTATAAAAGAAATGTTTTAAATACCCAACCCAAGCTGTGGTTAACTTTAACGTTAGTATTATGAAAAAACCTTAATTAAATTCATGGGTTGCCAAGTCGGTATCATTAAAACAATAGAATGGAATCTAGTGCATATAATTGCCATTCTGTTTGGATAATGCTATCTTTATTTACCATCAAAATAAACTATATTCAAATAAACTTTTTTTAATAGACCGCATCGCGTATTACATAAGAGTACATGTTACATATTATACATCGGAAAGATTAAAAATATAAGTAAATTAGAATTAGTAATAAATAATTATTTGTGGATTCATTAAGTATAAATAAATGTATACGATTGCAATAGAAACGGTATTATAAACTACTAAAGGAAATTGCTATGCGTGACAATTTAATGCTTATATGTTTATATTTCCTTCCTATATGTAATAAATAATGTGTATTGCCCAATGTTTTAGATTTTAATGTTGATTTTAAGTAAGTTTAGTATATTGTATTGTAATTTTTATTAAAATAAATGTAATACGTATAAAAATCGTTCTTGTTCATTTCTTTGGTATTTTATAAAAAAAAGTTTAGTGGGTGTGCATGTTTTAAAAATTTACAATAGAGGGGTAGTGTGGGTTGTTTACACCAGTTACCCATCCTATTGTCTGACATTATAATAATAATAATAATAATAATAATAATAATAATAATAATAATAATAATAAAACTTTATTTCCCAACAGATTTATAATCCAATTACAGAAAATTATACAACAAATAGTCATAAAATTTAATTCAATAAAACAAAAAATAAACAAATAATTAATTCAAGTTACAATTAAATAAAATAAAATCAATAAAAAAAACGAAAAAAAATTGATTTTAACCAAATCAATCAAATTGCACCTTATTTAGCACATTTTAAAATTAAACATAAATTATCAAAGTTGATATCACATTTAGCAGAGATCCTATTAAAATTGCCACACACAATATATAAATTAAATAGTTCTTTTTTCGTATAACAATTTTTATATTATAACACACACTATATAGTAAGACTTCCTATTTGCACGAAGTTCAAAAGTCAAATTATACACCGCCGTACAATAATGAAAATAAATTAAAATTACATAGAAAGAGTAATTCCATCTATCGCGTTTAGCTTATAGTCAGCAAAGAAAATGTAAACTGTCACTGTACAATAAACTCAAGTACATAACCTATAATATAACATATGTAAAAAGTCAAACCTAACAAAATGTATAATATTGGGTTTTTTCATATATAATAATAACCATTATAACCTCCGCACCTAACAACGAGAATAATAAACTCTCATTATTCACGTTGTTGGGCAGCAGCAATTGGCCGATTTCAATATTCAACGTGATATGAACCAATCGGATTTTAAATTAGAAGGCAACTATAATAATATTTAAAATTGGTAGATAAAGAGGTTAACCATCTGATAGATTTTATTTATATATTTTTGTAAATCATTTAAATATATACCTATCTACTAATTGGACTAGATAAAGTATATTATTATACGAGGGATAATGCAGGCTATTATTTACGAGAATGAGGTGAATAATAGCCTGCATTATCTCTCGTATACTATTTTCAAAATAGTATTTTGCAATGCTCTTAACCTGGCTCATAAAAAAACTAACTATAGTTGCTATAGCAGTGTATGGCAATAAATTTGTAATAGTATATACTATTATTGATATAAAATCATATCAAGTGTACCACCTAAAGTGGTCGTATTTTTGCATAGGAGCTCCTAGGAGGTCCAAATTTTAAAATTGACTCCCTATATATCAACCTATGTGTCATTGTGACGGTACTTAAAAATGATAAAAAATTTACAAACTTTGTTGACAAAATCTTTAAACCATTATCCTAAAAATAGAACTTACACAAGACAAGTTAAACTGGATAATTTAGACACCATGGACAAATTAAAAGAAAATCTGAAAAAAAGCATGGGCATTGAATCGGGTTTTAAAGCAATTAAACAGGATCGTAAACATTTAGAGCAATACCTGCCAAAAAAGCAGGAAGATTTGCCACCAAGATCAATGGAGGACAGCTTTATAGCAGGAATAATACCACTATCAACGGATAAAGATTTGCAGGATAAGTATTCTTCTTTGGACGGTTCTGTCAGAAAAGGACGACTGATGGAAGATATGGATATATTTGCTGTGATGGTAGCACAAAAACATATATGCGATCCAAATTTACCCGAAGATGCACCATTTCCTCAAGTCTTAGTGACGGTTGTGGTGGATAAAATTGAAATAACGGAATATAAAATGAGTGTGGAACAGGACATAAGGATTTCGGGGCATGTTTGTTGGTCGGGAAAATCCTCCATGGAAATAGTAGTGTGGCTTGAACAAATCGACAATAAGGAACTAAAGAGAGTAACTAGAGCGTTGTTTGTAATAGCGGCCAGAGATCCCACTAACACAAAAGCTGCTGTAATAAATCCTATCAAACCAGCAAATGAAAATGAAAAGATGATTTTTGCCGGTGGTTTAGACCGAAAAAAATTCCGACAGGAAATTGAGGCACTTAATCTCTACAAAACGATTCCTACTGTAGAAGAACAACATATGATCCATAATATTTTTACTCAGAAACTAATTTTTATCCCGGGATCTCCGATGAAGCTTAAGGATAGAAACCAAACAGTTTGGATGGGCGACAGTACCATATCTACCAACTTTTACTCTCATCCAGAAAACAGAAATCTCCACAACACCGTTTTTGGTGGTTTTATAATGAGACAGGCATGTGAAGCTACCTCAGTTTTGGGGTATAGATTTAGCGGTGAATTTCCACGTTTAAAAACTATAAGCGATATACGTTTTTTAAGCGCCGTTCCTGTATTCTCCTTTCCAGCGATACATGCCTTTGTGGTATACACAGAAGGGACTTATATTCACATGATGGTGTATATTGATGCTTTTGATCCAATAACTAAAGGATCTCAGATTACAAATAGGTTTAACTTTACCTATTCTGTTTCCAAACCTGTAAGAGAAGTTATTCCATTGACTTACAACGAAGCCATGATGTATATTGATGGTAGACGACATTTAAAAACAGATTCACAAAAACTATCATTTAAGGGGACAAAAAAATAATATATGCATATTATATAATTAATTAAATATAATAATTTTTTAAACATACAGTGTAGGTAATTAGCGTTCTTTTAAAGCTAATTATTTTCACTACATTTCCGAATTTGGTTGATTCAATAAAACTTCTATCTTTAACCTCGTTTGGTTTTAACTTTTACATCACATCATAAGTGCATATGGTTGGCATCTGATACTTTAGCGGAATTAATATGAGCTTTTTATAATTAAGGTTTTTGGAAATCTAATAAATTATTAAAAATCATTTACATTTCATTATTATTAGGCGAAAATATCTATAGCGAGTGAAAGTATTTTATATATATATATAGATTAAAATATGATATTTCTTACCGGCATTTTGGTATCTATCCTATCCTATCATAAATCACAAAAATCAGAAATAAAAACCACACATATCACGTTAAAGTCAAGTGAAGAAAAGCTTTCTATCGGTGATCACTATTTGGGCCCCACCTTTACAAAAAATATTCCACGAACGGCAGTCAAAGAGAGTGAGCCCCCAGAATAATAATTTTTACCGACACAGTCGTACGCTACGTAAACAAAATAAAAAGTAAAACCGTGGAGTGCGCTTCTGAGCAATTAGACGACTGACAAGTTCTTCAGCATTAAGAACGTTGTAGATGGGTTGGGTACGAAGAAGGTGAAAGGTAAGCTATTAGAGGGGGATAACTGGCTGCACTGTCCGTGTGCATACGCTTTGCTTGGACGGTAAAAATTCCTAAAAATCGACATATCACGATTTTCGTAAATGGTTCGGCGAATAGCTGATATGCAGTGTCCAGAAAATCATATAAATAAACGCCCAAGATTTTAAATAATATGAGAGTAATTTAGATTTGTTTTTCCAAAAATAATTTTAATAATTAATAATTAATTAATTTAAATTAATTTAAAAAAAAATTAAGTTATTTATTTATACTTCCTCCTAGAAGATTTGTACATTACTGGAGTAATAATTAGTCAATAATAAATAAATAATAATTTGTCGATAATAAATATTCTTCAGAGGAGATGGCTGCTTTTAAAATTAGACGACTCAATTATTGAGATATAAGGTTTTAAAAATTAAATTTAATAGGCACGGTGCACCGCATTGTCCCAGGTTTAAGTAGCATGACCTCACCAGAAATTTGTTTTAATTAAAAAATTTTCTGTGACCCTTTAATCTAAATATTGCTCGTTTCTCAAATAAAGGATGTTAAAGTTAATATTTTTTAGTTTAGCTTTTCCTTAATAAAAAAGTATCAATTATTTTAATTTAGTATTCATTTAATAGTATACGTGTGTACTAAAACAACTTCTTTTGATAAAAAAGTTAGATTTCATGGTCTATGTTAGGGGAACTCATATTAATTTAAATTATTTTATATTCCTTACAAGTGCAATAACTTGCAGAATTAAAAATATTGCTTTATATTGTTTAAAGATTTCAAAGAAGAGGGTCGAGTACACGTATTAACCATTTCTAAACTATCATAAAAATCCATAAAAATCTATAAATTATTTGATTCACTAAAAATACTATTAAAATTAATTAATTTAAATTATTTTATATTCCTTACAAGTGCAATAACTTGCAGAATTAAAAATATTGCTTTATATTGTTTAAAGATTTCAAAGAAGAGGGTCGAGTACACGTATTAACCATTTCTAAACTATCATAAAAATCCATAAAAATCTATAAATTATTTGATTCACTAAAAATACTATTAAAATTGTTCAAAATGGATTTTCGGCGATTAATCTGTCAGGTAGGTATAGAAAAAAAAATCAGCATAAATCAGCATGTAAATTTACAAGTTGTAAAAAAGTCTCACTTTATTATATTTATTAATTACATATCTGAGGAGTAATTTTTCAAAAGGTCGTAATTCCATTTGCAACAATTTTTCAAAAAAATGACTATAACCTGTATAGGTTAGGGCAATATATATTATTAAAAAAAAAATGAATATGAATATTTAATAATACTTCAGAACTGCTGTCATATTTCGCCGTTAATATATGCCTTTTAACCATACCTTTGGGATTTTGTCAAAAAAGTACATTCAAGTAAAAATGGAAATAAGGCCTTTTGAAAAATCACTCCTCATCTGTCTTTAATAAATATGCTAAATTTTTATTGTATGCTGATGAGAAAAATGTTTTGCTTATGGATAAAGAATTGAAAAATCTTTCCAAAAACTATTCCTTGGTGTCAAATAGGGTGGAGTGAATTTTTTTAAATTTATTAATTGATTTTTCCTATATTATTAATTGTTGACTAAAGGCGTAAAATGAATAAATATCGAAAAAATATTCTAATTTTTTAAACTGAAGCATTACGTTTGTACCAGTTAATTCACTGGGCGACAGGTGAAAGGTGAAAGGTGACTGAACCACCTATGACTATGAAATACGATGACAGAAATTACCGATATGATTTCTTCGGGTGACCATTTCCTATACTTCCAAAAATTTCCGTGTCACACCCAAGCAGTGGAACGCTGTGTAAAACTGGTTATAACCAGTATACTGAATCTTCAGACTCGGTTTGTGGATCGGAAGCAAGAGATGGTTTCATCAGAACAAGAATTAAAGTCAGAAAATAATTACCAAATTTTTATACCAAATGTCAGTATTTTCGCGAAAAAGAAGATCTCATTTCTACCAATAAACACTCCTGAAGTTACTTAAAGCATATGATTTACTATTAAATATGTTTACGTTTCACGTTAATTTTACTAAAATAAATTTTTTATTTATAAATAATGCTATTTTTATTACTTTGATTAAAGTAATATTTTTTTAGAATTTTCAAAATTTCGAGACTGATGCGCCACCTCAAGATATTAAAAAATTGGAATATTTTTTCGATATTTATTCATTTTACGCTTTTAGTCAACAATTAATAATATAGGAAAAATCAATTATTAAATTTAATAAAATTCACTCCACCCTAGTGTCAAATCAGTTTAGTACATGGTGTCAACAAAATGGATTACTATTAAATGTTAATAAAACAAACTTTATGCAATATTGTCCAAAGAATGCAAGGATTGATTTTAGCCTATATATAAACATTAATAGTTTATCAATTTCAGCCCGCGATACAGTAAAATTCTTTGGTCTAACATTGAACATGTTTTTTAATAAGATATTTACTGTATTAAGATAATATACTTTGGTGTAATTCAATCTATATTGTCCTATGGTATTATTTTTTGGGGTGTTTCAGCTACAGAAGACGAAAGAGGAAATACAGAATCCTGTATGTACGCTTCGACCGATTTCATTATCCGCAAGCTAGTCATTTCAGAATTAAGGCTAATATTTATACAAAACACGTGTTTTTTTAACATATAAAGTTTAAATGTTATATATTCTGTAAAGTAGGTTTGAGCAGTGCATTGCAAACATGCAGCATTTTGAATACAACGAAAGTCTAAAGAGAAGAGCAAAAAACAAATAGAAAAACCATATAATGTAGAACAATTGTCTAATTATTAAAAAAATAACTTACAATAAATAACTTAATACAATTGGGTTTTTTTATAATTTACTTTAAAAACGAAATACTTAAATTAAACCAAATATCCCTATATAATCTCGTGTTCGTAATACAGTGTTGCCGGATCATCTAGACGAGAATGACAGATTGATATTTTTGGACACAGTCAATATTATCGTTTATTATTGCAAAACTGTGCGGTTAAAGTTAAAGTCTACAGGCATAAATGCAGACGTGAAAAAAATTGCATTAATTTTTCAATTTAACGTTGTAAGATAATCATTAATTAAAGACATGTGGTATATAGGAGATGTGTTTAATAAACGCATATCTTATAACATGACAATACCTGTAGAAGTGCCATCTAAATTTTTCTTAACATGCACAACATAGTTTAGCAATAATAAACGATAACAGACTATGTACTCTAAGCAACTTTAATAATGTTTTAATCGGAAACCAGACGGTCAACCTTTCTAAAATAATTAATGTCTTTTAAGTAAGTTTTCTTATAGCGACTAAAATCCTGCACAAACATCCTTAAACAAATTTAAAATGTTAAAAACTTTAATTTTGTTTATGATAAAACCTATAATGTCAAAACATATTTTGTTACTTGAGGTGTAGTGTCCAAATAGTGAGAACTGGCCTTTAACCTCTTCATCGTGCTTTTGTTTTAAGTGTGCTACACAATCTACTACACCTTAAGTACAAAAGAGGAAGTATGATTATACACTAGGTCGTGTATGCAGGTTTATGCAATACACATAGTTGGCCACGTGCTTTGGACAGTAGATGGGGCTGATTCCTTTCGTTCACCGCTGTCCTTGTATAAAAGTACGTTGACGAGGTAAAAGGCTAGTTCTCATAATAATAGGTATAAGACTTATAAGTAAATAACTCTTTTTACTACCACCTTTAAAACGCCTATTATCGTACATGTTTCCATGACACTAAGTGATTTTTTAAATACACATTGACAATTTGTGGCTTTATGGCGTTTTAGTCAAGGGATGAAGTTAGCAACAGGTTTTTAGTCACGGGCAAAAGTTGTTATGCAATCGTTAAAATAAAGTGCCCTTCTTTTGAAATAATAATGTGTAAATTATTTTATAATCTAAATAGTTTCTCAACGACAAAAGGTACCTATATAAAAAGTTTATATGCAAGTTTAGATTTTGCCGGCAGTAAACTAGATTTAACTGAAAGAATTTAAAATTTCGGCTGTGCCCATGAAACATTCTCTTCACTTTCACTGTAAAACACTGCTTTTTTACCATCATTTAAACTGTTGATAGTTTATTTTCAAGGGAGAAATTTCTATTTACACATACAATTTTGACATTTTGACTGGGGCGCCGGTAATACAGATTCCCAAGTTAGAAATTGTCACGCGAGTTACTCTATTTTTGTATAGTTGTCGCTATATACAAATATTTGTCGTAAAAAAGTATAGTATGCAACTCGTTTATAAACTTTTCTAGACACTCATTTAATTAAATACTCGCTCGCAAGCTCGCTCGTGCCTAATTTAAATTCGTGACTAAAATTGCGATAATCAAACTTGATACACAATATACTATTATTCTTTTGTGTATTAATCGAATTTAACAGTGTTGCTTTAATGCTAGATAATTTTTAGAAAAAAAATGTAAAAGTTTTTTTCTATAAACCTTCCATTAAAATAATTGAATTATTTTAAATTACAACTTAACATAATTTTTACAAAAAATATTTATATTGACTTTATAATAAAGCCATTAGATAGAACACGCTAATAAACCGATAAATGTAAAATAATGTATATTTTTCCAAAATCCACGGTATTACTACCGATAAATAACATTAAAGTTTCATGATACTAGGCACCTAGCTATGGTAAGAATTTTTTTAATAGTTACTATTATAGACGTCCCAGGCGTTATCCAAAAGAAATTAATAAAGTTTTATATTAAGCCCTTAAATTAGAAATCAGATAGGATTACAAACCAGCTAAATTTAAATACCTACCTTTAGTTATACTAGGAAATTAAATACCTAAGCCTAATTATATTCAAGAATGTAGCCAAAGTGCATGTAATGATAATGATCAGGATTTTAAAACAATTTTGTTTAAATTACCGATACGTACTTAAAGTATCATTAATATAACAATTATGCATTAGTCTTGT